TGGCTGACCCATTTGAAGAAAAAGAGAAGTAAGAGAGAGAGAGAGGGAAGTACTATTTCCTGTACACTGAGAATAAAAGCAAATAAAAACTAAGCCATCTATCTCAAAAACTGGCTAATCCATATCTGTGAATCTGTATAAGTGTCCTAATCTGGCGAGGGAGGTTGAATAGTCCATACTCTTAGTAAAGGCACTGATCCCAATCCTCTGAAGCTATCAAGTCTGCAACCTGATTTCCTTCTCGACAAGCGTAGGAAACCATGTCTCCATCAAAGGAGATGGATCTCTAGTCTGTTCGAGTATGCTCTAAATCGTCATGGTTCTCCACGTATGGTGATGCAGTGAATAGCTACGATCGAATTGGCCTCAATCCAAATAGCCGAGATACCAAATCCTCTGGCCAGTAGAATTCCATCCAATATAGCTAGGAGCTCGGCCTCTAAAATAAAACTTGGACCGTATGATGATGAGAAAGCCCTTGATGTATTCCCCAGTCTAGTCTCTAATCATGTCCTCAACACTTGCAGATTCATCATTGACGTACCCTTCAATATTGATCTTGTAAGATCCTATCGGTGGATGGATGGAGCCAAGTAAACGAAGGATTGACTCTGCCAATTGTTGCTGGAGTAGGGCACTTGGTACCACTTCGTGCTCAAAAAGCTTTTATTCATTTCGGACAGTTTCTAGAGAACAAGCCAATGCCAAGGTGAACCTTGATTTGATTAACTACGTCAAAGCAAATAGTTGAAGGTTTTAAGAAATCCTCATCTAATGGTGTTGAAAATAAGGGTAATAATTTATCCCGACCAATAGCTCCCTTCTCGTCTCAACAAGTGCCTCGAAGTTTTTACGCTTGTTCGGATAGAAGATTTTAAGGAGAAAATAGCTAAAAATCTCATACAATTTATGACATTTGGATCAAATTCATTACTTTTAAGTACAGCCAAACATGTTAATAATAAATTCAAATCGTTTTTTACTCCAATAAATATTCTATTGACCTCTCACTTTCTAACACACTGCATCGAAAGTATGCTATGCTACTCCATTGTATAGAATTTTCATTAAGTGACATCTTCCAACCGAGAAAAAAAGGATTATATCAAGTTGACAACTAAAATAACTTTATTACATTTCAGGAGGAGATCAACTAGGTTTGTTGTATATTTGACCAAAAATCATTTCATTTGAACAAGTGAATTTCTAATTGTGCACCTGATTAATTTGTTTGCAAAAAATTACACAAGGGGGGAGATTAGTTTCCTTGGGATCTCTTTGATTAAGTCGATAAATTACCGTGTATAAAATCCCACGGTGCCTTAATATACCAACAAAACTCAATGTTCATGCGAAACTCGCTAGCGTGCGAGATCATTGAGAAGTAATATAATTGATGAGTTGAGTGTATCGTCTCACAGGGCATAAATTTGAATTCAAGTTTGCCATTTATGTATGGAATTTGAATTATATAAAACAAAAGAGATATTTTGATTTGATTTTTGCTAAATTAATTTAAGAAAGCGGTAAAAGTTTGTTATTTATCAAATTATGGATGGATTTCAAATATGCCTATTGGTATTTATTTCAATTTTTTATTTGTAATCCAATTCTGTTATGCGTTTGACGATTGATAAAGCTATGATATATAATTTCTTTTCCAAGACAAATTAAATCTATCCTAACCACGACTTGAATATTTTCCTTCCCAAATTCGAATGATTAGATTGCACTAAAGTTTACATTATGTATATGATTGTATAAATTATAAATGTTATTCTTAACATCTATTGCACATATGTTAATTTTGTTGCATTCTAAATTTATTGCAGATCTCCCAACACTACAACAAGCAACTAATTATCTAATTAGTGACCAATCAATTAAATAGTGCAATATTCATGCAAAATTAATCAAGAAATACTAAACTACTAGTCATGAATTATAAATAAATAACAAATAGGGCTCATCTTCATCCAATACAAAAAGGATCTAGCATAACATATTAATATATAAATTATAAGAAGAATAATGAAAAAATACCAGTCGGATCATGAAAAGAATACACAAGATATTGTTCTTTAAGTCAAAAGTTAAATTCTTCAATTTTTTGATATAATTGAGTTTCAATTCATTTGCTAGGGTTTGATCTTCTCTTCTAAAAGTAATGAATTGGTCCATTGTTCTTAATAAATTTGATGATACTGTTGTATATGAAGAGACGAGAAAGGATTTTCTTATGTGTAGTCCTTGTTTTCTATTTATAAGACCCCGTCCAATTTGGATTCCACAAGAGTTTAAGTCGCAAAAGGAACTACTGTTGATTCATTGCGAAAAAAGCCTGCACACGCATAGGTATTCCTACTGCGCATGCGCCATTGAATTATGTGGCTCTGGGGTCATGAAATTTGTGTCTTGCGTGTTTTACGCGCTTTTGTCCTTGAATATCGTTCGGTCTTTTGATCATAACTTTCTCTCCTGATGTTCGATTGAGGTGATTCAAAGTGCGTTGGAAAACTAACACAAAGAGCTACAATTCTTCTAGGTACAATGTTGTCAATTCGAATGTTTACTATCCAAAAAATGGGTCTCAAGTTGAGGCTAAAAATTCAAAAAATAACATTTTGCAGCTGGAAATTGATTTGTAAAAATACTTCAACTCTATTTCATTTCTTTGACATCAAAATTACATCTGATGAGTGTAATTCACTCATTAAACATACGCCTCTAAATCATGGATTTTAGCTTGTTCTTGAACACTTTTGAACGTTTTGATTTGTGTGTTCATATTGTTTTGTAGCTCAATCAACATTCGAGAAAATGCCACAATTGGGAGCTTGTGATGAATCTAAAATAGTGATCACAAAATGGGGGCATGAATTGGAGATAAGAAAGGAGTATTGCAATGAAAGAAGCTTAGAACAAGAGCGATTCAAGCGAGGAGTAGTTTGTTAGGCGCCACGGCATCCAACAAAAAGAGAATTTCTCGCAGTAAGCTAGGCGCCACGACACCCATCGTAAAAAGAAGCAGCAGAATAGCTGGCACCACGGCGACAGACTTGGGCGCCACATCGCCAGCACACAATTACATCGCAGTGCCAGAGATGGGTGCCATGGAGTCGAACCTCACAACACAGAAGAGTCTAAATTTTTGGATATTTCTCGGCCCAAGATGTTCCCTAACCATCAAAAACTCGAAGATAATATAAATACCAAAATAAAAACCTAATAGGGAGCCGTTTTCTGAGATTTTCTCTGGGTGAAAAAAGGGTGCAAAAGTGAATATCCATTCAAGAGGCAAGGAAAAGAAATTGAATTGTATCGAGAATGACAACCAATTAGGGAAGAACAAGAAGCTTAAATCAGTTTTTCTGAACTCTTATTTATTCTTTCTCATGTTCTTTATCTTGTATTTTGGCATGTCGATCGATTCAAGCATGAAGTAAATTCGTAGATCTATGGTTGATATAACCTATTTGAGACATGATTTGATTCTAATATAGTTATTTCTTTCGTTTTTTCAAAATTTATTTGTGTTGTTTTGTGTTTAATGCTTTCAATTGCCCGATCACCAATTAAATGAACCAATGCTTTAAATTTGAAGCTCGAAAGAGGGAAATTTAGACATGATCTGGAACAACATAACCTAGATTTGTAGGTTTCGAGAGAAAATGCAAATCTTTGAGGGGTAAAACAAGAACTAAGAGCTTTAACAAGTTTTATATGTTTAATTCGGAATAGAGATATTGGGGTTAAAATATAAAGATATGTTCTATTGGCACTCGAGAGAGGGGATAGAATTAAATTAGGGTTCTTGCTTATAAATTGGAAAATTCGATGGAAATGGCTATAGAAGTTGAGAACATGTTGATAATATGGAGAAATCAATCCCTAGATATCCATAATTTAATTTGATTTTTAGAAATTGTCTCACTTTACTTGCATTTTTTATTCCATTTAAATTAGGTTAGCATAAAAGCATCATTTAAAAATTGGAATTGTCTAAATAAAGTGAAAATTGAAACAATTAGAGTGTATTTGATTACATTTATTTTTCATGAAAAATATCATTTTTCTATCCAAATTTCTACTTGGAGTGTTTGATTGCTATTTTTTCCATGGAAAATATTTTCCAACTTTTGAAAATATGCCTAATTTTCCTTGTTTTTAAGGAAAATATTTTCCTTGGGTAGAGGTGGTTTTTATTTTCCACAAAAGATGGAAAATATTTTCTTTTCTAGGTGATATTTTTCATGTCAATCAAACACACTCTTATAGTACTCAGTTGAATTTGAATTTCAATCATTGTGGGTTCGACACTTTTAAAATTTTTACTATATTACAAAACTTGATACCGTACTCTTACGGTTAAATAACGTTATATAATCGCGTGGCAACATCCAATTGATTATGTGTGATCGTCAATCATAATTTTATGCTCTGCATCAAGTATTGAATGTTTACACTTTGATCCCCAAGTTTTGGATTTCTTTCTTTTTGCCCTTTTTTGTTCATTTCTTAATTTCAATTCCATCAATTTGCATTGAGTTCAACCTAACAAATATAATTAATATATAATTAAGTTATAACTCACTCAAATCACTAACAAATACTCCAATTTACTGGCCTAGATAAGTGTACACTTATCCCTCAACTTATAAATGTTGGATTTACTTATCTTAGCAATGTTGATTTTTCATATGATTTCTTTCTTATATATAATACTATTTTTTAATTTGGTGTTCTCACAGGTCTTTTCTTGTTACATCGCATTGTATTACATTAAGACTTGCAACCTAAGGTTTTCATAAAAAGTTTTCTTAGTGTCTAAGAAGTGCCGTTAATTAGTGATAAGTGTCGAATGTGGATGATAAGTTCCTGAATGCCTTAAAAGCAACTATGCAAAAAAGTGAGATGAGATGCATTAATTTAATCTATTACAGATCAAAAAAATTTGAAAAAGCAGTACATAAATGGCCACCCAATGTAAAGATAAAGCAGAATCAACAAGAAGAAAAAGAAAGACAAATCCCAGATTGATCATTCCAATAAACTCTCTCTCTCTCTCTCTCTCACACACACACATACACACACACAGAGTTGAGTTACATAGAGAGATGTATAGATTAAGTAACACAGTGATAGGTTTCTTGAATCTTTTCACTCTCTTAGCCTCAATCCCAATCATTGGGGCTGGTTTATGGATGGCAAGAAGTAGTACAACCTGCGAAAGTTTCCTTCAGACACCACTTCTGATTTTGGGATTCATAATTCTCATAGTATCGCTTGCTGGATTCATCGGTGCTTGTTTTCATGTTGCATGGGCACTTTGGGTTTATCTGGTTATCATGTTGTTACTTATAGGGACTTTGCTGGCCTTGACTGTGTTTGGATTCGTGGTTACGAGCCGGGGTGGCGGCTCCGTGGTGGCCGGTAGGGTTTACAGTGAGTTCCATCTTGATAATTATTCTTCATGGTTGAGGAAAAGGATTAAGGATCCTCATTATTGGATGACCGTTAAAAGTTGTATTTTGGGTTCAAAGGCTTGTGCTAAGGTTGTTTTGTGGACCCCTTCTGATTATCTGTCCAAAGACTTGTCTCCTGTTCAGGTAATATACATTTTCGTCTTGCCAATAAGCATTTAAATTTTTAGACAATGTGACAAATCTAGTAAGCTTATGATGAAGGAACGATGGTAAATAGATATGTCAAAAATTTAATTGTTCCTATCTCTACCAATCTTAGCACGAGACTGTTACTTCTTTAATCAGCGGCTTAAGCTTTTGAAGACAACATGCTAGTTTATGAAATCCAAAAGGAAAAAGTATGGGTACAGAATTATAAATCTGCTCCTGGGATTCATCAAAATAAAGATTCTTTTGGACACTGTAATATGTAGTGTCTTGAAATATGTTTCTGATGATATACAGAAGTTTAAATTGCTCCAAGAACGAATTCCCTTTGAATGTTTTTTTTTCAACTTAAAGTTGAAAGTATTTCTTGTCTTTTATAATAATTTATTTCCTTGATTAAAATTAGAACTAAGAAAGTACTTAATTATTTTAAATGTTACCACCTTAATGTTAAAATAAGCAATTATTTTATTTATAAGTAAAAAATAATTTATTTATATATGTAAAAATCTACTTGCTTACTCTTAAGCTTAGCGTAAAGGACTTAAGAGAGAAACGTTTAACTTTCTCGAGAAGACGGGAATTATGTTTACTTGTGTTATTTTTCCTTTGTTGTGATTGATCTGCAATTTTGTTAAAATATGTCGTGCTAGTGATTTTCTATACGTTTATGTCTTCTTTATATCAGTTAATTATATTGAAATAAAAGTTACATCTTTGAGACTTTCGAATTCATAGAAGAGTCACACCACATAGAATAATTATCAAATGACCATTAATTATTGATCCTCCTTCACTTTAACTGACAGTCAGGTTGCTGCAAGCCCCCAACTTCATGCAACTATGCATCAACAATGGTGGATCAAGAGTCTGACTGCTATCGCTGGAACAACGATCCCAACATTCTGTGCTACGAGTGCGATTCGTGCAAGGCAGGAGTTCTCGAAGATGTAAGAAGAAATTGGCACAAAATTTCAGTCCTTAACATTGTTATGCTACTCGTCCTCATTGGAATCTATTGCATTGGCTGCTGCGCTTTCCAAAATGCGAAAAGGGCTGAATCTGATTACCCGTACGGTGAAAACCGGATGTATAAATCTCGTCCCAGATGGGATTACCATTGGTACGTTATAGTAATTTTAAATGGTTGATAAAAGTTGGTGGTCCTAGACGCGTTTATTTATTTGAATTCATTACGTGTATTTTCTATGCAGGAGGAGATGGATGTACGACAGGAGACACCAGCTTTATTAAGCTCTTTCGCTTTCTAGTTTTCAAATGCTCTTCTCGACTGTAAAAAGATGGGACAATATGCAGTGTTTCTCCATATGTATTCACATGGATGTTTCAAATACCCTCTTTAAATTGATGCTTTTTGTACAAAGAAAGATTTTACTTTATTTCTAAGATCAAACCAAAGGCACAGAAGTTGCTTTTACTTTGCTAGTTTGAATAGCATGTTTAGCAAAATTCATAATTGATCCACAATTTATAAATAAAAGCAGTATCAAAAAGATTTCACCAACAAAAATCAAAATTTATAAAAAAAAAAAAAAAAAAAGTTTTGTTTTTTTTTGGAAAAAAAAAAAAAAAAAAAAAAAAAAAAAAGATAAGAAAAGAAAAAGAATATTTTATTTTTTAACAATTCTAACGTTTCATTTTGGTGCAAGACTCTCAGATCAAACAAATGTGGCGAAATAATATTTTCGTCCATTTTGTTTATTAAAGCCTTGTAAATGACGAATATACACCCCTCTTTAAAATTATAAAAGAAATTAAGAAGAAAAATGAAGAATTAATTACATTCATTGTCCCAAATGTTTCAAAAGGTGCAAATCCCAATTAAAAGAATTTTAAAAAAAAATTAAAGAAAAATTTAAGAACCTCTTTCATCGTCACTACCACCACTACTTTAGAAAAGTAGACATTGGAAATTATATAATCTATTCACTTTAGAAAATAGAAGGATGGTACCTCTAACACAAATACTTTTTAGGAAAACAATCTAAATTATTGATGTAAAGTTTTGTTTATCAATATACTAATTCAAAATATGTCAGCAGAGAATTATTAAAAAATAAAATAAAATAATTAAGTAAAAAGTAATTAGCCACGTATTACGAATATCCTTGATATTTATAATCTATTATTTGATCAATGATGAAAGTTTAAAAAATTGATTATCTCAATTCCATTTGACACTCAACAACTTACCTTCCAAATCAACATCCAAATCAAATTTGAAAGCAATGGATTGTATTAAAATTAAAATGTATTTTTTTTCTCTTATCTTTTCAATCACTCATTTTTCAATAAAATAATATCACACGTAAATTCAAAATTTTTTCTTCCTTTTTAACCATTCATTATTCATGTATTGTAAGTCTGCAATGGAAATATAAGAATTGGTTTAGGGTTAAAAATATCAACTCGCGACCAATTGCATGTTTCAAGTCTTATAATTGGGGTAAATTTTGTCTGTAGTAGTAACTGAATTTTTAGTAAAATTTCAATTGAATCATTTAGTTTTAGGCCATGTTTGGTACCCATTTTTTTCAAAATACATTTCTCTCTCTCTTCTTTTCAACCACACATTCTTTATTAAAATAATATTACACGTAAATAAAAAACTTTTCTTTATTTTTCAACTACACATTTTCCATCAATTTACTATTCAAAAATGCACTTTTACATAAAAATGTCTCTCAAACACCTTCTTGGTTTATCTCATAGCTGCACGAAACCCTAAAAACAAAAAAAAATTAATAAAACGAGGGTATGGCAATGACTATAAATATTAGAAGACGTGTCTTTTGATTCAACATTTTTATAAAATGGCGTATTGGTAAAACGATATGTCCCACGGTAGAAGATTTATTATGATATGACTTTCAATTTTGAATTTTTCATCAATTAAAGAAAAAGTAGGTGATAGAGCGATGAGATTTGAACTGAATTACAATTGAGTATATCAATTGATACGAAATTAAAGTTTAGTGACTCAATTGAATTTTTACTAAAAAATCACATTTAAAAATTTAATTTCTCACATGTTCACCATGCTTTCACTTAGTGTCACCATGATTATCAAACTTTAGTTTATTTCATCATACAATCGAACTTTCCACTTAATGTCACCATGGCCAGTGAATTTTAATCTATTTCTTTACAATTTGGTCGATTAACATTGCGAACTTCTAACCTTTCAACCTTTGGATGATGAGTCTCGAACCTTTAATTTTCTAGCACTTGAAGTCCACCATATTTTTACTTCAATCGGGTAAATGTATTTAACTTGGATTTCAATTAAGAATCTCCGTTCAATTCTAGGAATATACTTGATTACGTGACAACTAATAAATAACAATCATCAACATTAGTTATGACAATAATCAGTTTTTTACTATCTCATTATGTCAGTTCAAATGATAGAATTGGATGGAGTTACCTAATTGAAATTAAATTAAAATACCATTGCTTAATTAAAAAAATGAAAATAAAATTATCTGATTGATACTAAGGGTTCATTTGATTGTCAATATTTTTCATAAAAATTGTATTTTTTTTTCCAACCAAATTCCTACTTTTGTGTTGTTTGATTGACATATTTTTCATGAAAATCATTTTCCTACTTTTAGTTATGTGACCATATTTTCCTAAAAATCAAGGAAAATATTTTTTTAGGGAGAGTAGGGTTTTATTTTTCAGGGAATTCATTCTCTCCCTCATTTATCTACTCTATCTCATCTATCCACCAATAAAAATCGAATGAGTATAATATTTTCTATGCTAAAAATTAAATCAATCAAATACATTTAATTGATAATTTCTATGCAAATAAGTTCTACGGAATTGGATTACCTAAGGGTGTATTTGATTGTCAATATTTTTCATGAAAAATATATTTATCCCACCAAAATTCTTACTTTTGTGCCATTTGATTGATAATTTTTTTCATGAAAAATATTTTCCTACTTTTGGTCACGTAACCATATTTTTTAAGGGGAGTAGAATTTTATTTTCTAGAAAATTCACTCTCTCTTTCTCTTTCTCTCTCATCTATCAACTATCTCTCCTTTATTTATTTATACCAAGTATCATTCTTACGGCTAGATCCAATCTCCTGGTCCCTAAGGAAAGGAAAAAGAATTTCACGTTCTTCTTTTTGGGAAGGAAGAATTAGGGAAATCCTCTTGGTTGCAACTTTCTCCAGGCCTCTGCGAAAAACATGAAAAAAAAACGGCTCGAATGGTACGATCTCTCTGCCACCCCATAATGAAAGGGGTGATCTCGTAGTTTGTGATATGTGAAGATGAAAGACATTAAGATGGGTTTAGCCTATTCGACCATGTCTCAATTGGGTTATATGATGTTAGCTATTTTGTAGGTTGAAAATTAAATCGATCACAAACATTTAATTGATAATTTTCATGCACATAAATTCTTGGCAATTAAATTACCTAGAATTTATTTTCTTTCCACACAAATTCCACACTTGCAATCAAACGCACAATAAAATTTATTTTTTTCCATGCAAATTCCATTTGCAATTGAAGTAGTTGTGAAATAATACCTCTACGTCCACCTAGTGATGCAAGGCGTTCCTGCTACTCCAATGAACGAGTATTACCTGAAAAATGAGGGTGGGGTTTTCTCCCCCATTTTGCCTCCGACGTGAGAATCAGTATATGGTGTTAGAAAAAACAAAGATAGAATTCAGATAGCCAAAGTTTTTTCTCTGTTCATACATGTTTCGCTTTGGATGTATTTATAGGGGAGTAAAGCAATGCGACAGCTGGGCAGTTATGGTACCACGTGTCCCACGTAGCCTCTTTCATTATCCCCCACGTTCTGAGTGGGGGATCTTTAACTACCCGTCGAATGGACATACCTGTGACAGCCCTTATGTAAATCTCATCAATTCATTGATGATTTTATGACCAAGTGTTGGATTAGTCGCGTAGGTAATCTCATGGGATCAATGGTATAGGGCAGGTGTAGAGCGCTCATGGGAATCGTCGATTTATGATAGGTGTAAAGTGCCCATGAGGGCCGTCGATCTAGGGTAGGTGTAGAGTGCCTCATTGATGATTTTATGGCCACGTGTTGGATTAGTCGCGTAGGTAATCTCATGGGATCAATGGTATAGGGCAGGTGTAGAGCGCTTATGGGAATCGTCAATCTATGGTAGGTGTAAAGCACCCATGAGGGTCGTCGATCTAGGGTAGGTGTAGAGCGTCCACAGTGACCAACAACCCGGCGTGGATGTAAAGTGCCTATTGAGTTGCCTTTACCTTGTTGGTCACCGCAGAGGACTATAAACGCTATCCAATATCAATAATCAAACGCACTCTAAGCGAAATTATAATTACTGTAAATAAAGGCTACCATAAGATACAATTCCACGAACACTAAAATAATGGGGGGGGAAATCATATCTACCCAGTAAAATTATATTATTTCATATAATACTACATACTATTTTATATACATAAATGTACTATTTACCATATAAATATAACCGAAAATATTGCTTCTTGTAATCACTGTTATTGCATTTTACATATATTTATTATACAAAGTAATTGATGAATTTAAAGAAGGCGTAGATTACGTGGATTTTAATTGTAACTCCTAATTAATCATTCTTTCTGAAAAATATCCATGGAAAATCACCTTAATAGTGTTGAATCTAGAACTGTAATTCTGCATCTTCTCCATGCCGTAAACTATGTTCAAATCAAGCCGCGGCCTTGAATTTCTTTTTCATCCATAATTAGGTCTTTGCTTTCACTGTTAGGATAAACTAAGAAATTAAGGAAATTTCTAGTTTTCACATGATTTCAAGAAAATTGAAGATGTTATGATTTTTAACTTTTCATTTCCCAGCAAATGAATAGATATCATTCTGCGATAACTGATTACTTGATGGCATATATGTGATTTAACATTGACTACGTATGATTGTACATTTGTTCCTCCCTTTTTTTCTACGTTTGAATGTCTGAATCACATTTTTGTAATATAACGAGAACTCATTTGATTTCATGTGGCTGTTAAACTAGCTTGGCAAAACCGCTTTAATTAGGTATCGGCATCAAACGACTTTTTTGTCCAGTCTCAGATGAGAATTCAAAACAACTGGTGGATTTGATGGCTTTAGCATTCACTTGCAAACTGTTTGAGTTGGATGGGGTTCCATGTCAAAAACTCTAGTTAGCATCGCATAATTAAATCATCTCATCTAAATCTATTAATTTATTTATTAATCACGACAGAACTAGTCATTGATTAGGAATTTCTTTCACATTGAAAAATGATGCAACTTACTAGGAGAAATTTGGCTTGCAAGGCCATTGGAACCACCATTGACAACACCAAATATAACCTCATTGACATGTATTATGCCAGTGGATTTGGCTTCTGCAAATGAGGTTGCCATAAGTTGGTAATTTCAAGGATTTTCTGATGAAGTTTAATTTTTAACTTTCTTTCTGACATGAAAACAATAATTTGTTTGATTTTTTAACAAATACTTTACATCTAGCACTTAACAAAACGATTCGTGCAAATGACTCCATTATCAATTAAGTATAACGTCATGCGATGGACTTGCATAATTCCCAGAATGACATTGTGCAAAATAATTGTGTTTATTCATTAACAAATTCCATAATCGGTGTTTACGTCCAAAAAAATAAAAAAGAGGATACAGAGGCTCTTTCGCAGAATTGGTAATGAGCAACTCATTGATGATCTAGTACACTAACATCATATCTTATTTAAGAACGCACGAATAGCCCAACTTCTCTATGATGTTTATGATAAAAACAATATATTGTATAGTGTGAAATGATATACATCTGAGATAACACAATGAAATCTAGAAACTCCACATTATTAAATTGCACTATGAGGGAATCAATAATCAGTAATGATGTTACGTTTACAGTGGCGGATCCAGCACCTGGCGAGCACCCGCGGCCGAGCGTGCTGGATCCGCCGGGACCTTCAGTTGCCGCCGAGATCATCGGGTTGCAGGCGCAGGTAGTTGCTAAGTTGCAGAATGTTGAGACGAACGTTGAAAGGGAAGAAAGAAGAAGATTTCCATTTTCTTATCATTGGGACTTGGGCTGGTGACCTCGGCCTTTTTTGTTTAAAAAAAAATTGGCCCAATAGAGGAAATCATTGGTTCGGCATCCATGGTATTAATTTCCCCCCAACCCAAACTCCAAATCCCTATTCCCCAACATTTGAAACCGACAGCAAGCAAAGGGGAAGTGCAAACCCTTCCTTCCAATTCCATATTTCCATTCCAAGCAGAAGCAGTAGCTGCGGCGCCTGCGAATGAAATGGGTGGGAAGTACGAGTGCGACTGTGCGAGCAGTTGTGGATGGTGGACCGTGTGCAAACTGGTGCGATTGTGCGAAGTCAGGGACAATCGAGGCCGAACAAGCAGCGTGGGTGAGTTGAATACTTGAATTTTTTTGGTTGAATGTTGAATTCTTTTTGTTGCAAACCCTTTGTTGACTGTTGAATTGTTGTCTATTGATTTGTTGAGTGAAGTGTGTTGATTGTTGAGTGTCTGTTGATAATTGCTTTGAGTATTGTTTGTACTTTGATGCAAATATGCAATGATGTATTTTGTGTTTTAATTATACGTATTATTTATTAATTAGTTAGTGAATCAATCTTCAATTCATATAGAAAACCAAATTAGGAGTTATTACAGAGAATTGTGATTTTTGATCAATTCTAATTGAAAATAAAATTGGAGTATTTTACAAAATATTGAACAATTTTTTATTGTATTTAATCGAATTTGAATAAACGATCGAGCTATTACAATCGTTGATCGTCAACGGTCAAAGTCAATCACCGCCCTAACTGAAGATTGAATCTAGATCCGCCCCTGGTTACTATAAGTAACACAAATATAATGAATGTTGGGGAGTGGACATCAACAAATTAACATTCGAAATTAGAAGGAGCAATTCAATTTACTAATAAAACTTAACAACAGTATATCAAAATGCTAAGATGCTAATCTGTCCAAACTACTAAAAAAACACAAATCTGCCCATTATTCTGTAATATACCTTAAAATGATTTAAGTTCTCTAATATGCAAAAATACATTTTTACAAAACATTATTCTTCGAATTCTTAATCTCCAGTTCTATGTTGCACAATTTTTGGTGTAAAAACAAAAAATGAAATCTGGGGATTTCAACTTTAAAGATTAGCATTGCAATGATGTATAGTATTGTTGACACATAAAAATTCAGCCCAAATCGAACAGCCCAATGAGTGAAGCCCAATTGGAGGATCCCCAAATCAGATAGCCCAAAGAACGAAGCCCAATCGAACAAATCAAGATGAAGGCCCAAATAAGGAGGCCCAAGAATGCGGTAACGCCATCGCCCAAGTTTGCAAGTCGCCCAGAATCTGAACGAATAGAGTGTCATACGGTTGTCCAGAACTGTTACTCTATTCTCGCCCAAACTTTCAAGTCGCCCAAGGTATTAACAAACATAACGCGTCGTGGTTATCAAGAAGTGCAGTTATCAAAGCAGTTATTAAACCAGCTCTATCACGTTCCACAATTCAAGGAATTCAATCGAAAGCGGTTGAACGATGAAGGGTAATGACAGCAGTTAAAAGGCAGTTTTCATAACAAGGTGGCCATTACGAAGAAAGTGGGCAGTTATAGGACGATCAAGCAGTTTTTAAAGTAGTTGATCACAAAGAGATCGTCTATAAAGTATAAAAGGGAGAAAGGACATAGAAGCAAAGGACCGAATCCAAAACTCTCGAACAGAGAATATGTAATTTTCATTTCCTTAGTTTTTAGACTTAAGCACTTTTCTTTCAGTAACTCGTGTGCTTGCGCCCCTTGGAGGCACGTTGTCTTTCTTTTCCAATTGTAAAGTTCATCACCAATAAAAGAACACCCCTTTTTGGGACTTTGTCTCAAGAGGTTTCGTCCCTTACACAATCGTCTGATCCTTTTTAATTGTTAGCTACTAACTCGCGCGAAACAATTTGGCACGCCCAGTGGGATAGTGGTGTTAGGTGTTGAAAGTACAAAAGGGAAAACAATATGCCTCAGAGATCCAATAAGGAAGTAGCAAGTCAGGGAGGAATCCAGTCTGTGATCGAGCGATATGAGGAGCAGCATGCCTCTCCACGAACAGATGGACAGAACCAGAGCAGTAACAGTCGTTATGAACTAATGACGGAGTTGAGTCTTCGAACCATGCGAGCATTACTTGGAGAACTCACGCAAGACGTCGTTGAACAGGTAAATCTTCGAAGTATTCATAATATGGAAAGATTTACTCAAAATGGGAATATGCACTATGATAACATGGCCAAACAACTAAAGACATTGAACGAGACAATGAATAAGTTAGTAGGCCAAATATGTCAACCGGCTATACCTCTTACAAACCACTTTCAAACTAGGACAATTGTGGGACATAGTCCCTCGATCCTAAATCCGAGTCAAGGGGTCGAACCGCTTTCTAATCCCTCTACTTCAAACCAAGGAGGTACTACAATGCCAAATCAGAACAATGATAGTAGTATGCCTAACTTGGGGGGTAATCCAAACATAAGAGATAATGTCCTAAACAATGGACAGCAGACCCCACGTGTTAATGAAGGAACAGGTGTTCAGGCTAATGGTAATGACCCTAATTATGATAATTTTGTTGCCAATCAAGGACCAAACATCAGGCTTCATGCAAATCAACCGGTTAATTAGCCTGTAGGAATTCCATATGACCCCAACGCCACGTTGAGGAACCAGATTATGGAAATCGTACAGGATCAGATGGCTTTTGGGGTACGTCCCGTCATCAGGCCAATGTACACAAAGCCGTATCCTGATTGGGTAGACCAAGCATATCCATGGCCACCAGAATTCTTACTGTTTACCGGTTTAGGAAAGGTGTCTACTCTAGAACACATAGGGCGATTCACATTGCAGAGTGGTGATGTAACCGACTACCATAAAATGAGGCTTTTCCCTAGTTCGTTAACAGGAGTAGCTTTCTCCTGGTTCATCAACTTGCCAGCGAACTCTGTTCAAACATGGCAACAATTAGAACAGTTGTTTCACGCTCAATTTTATAAAACTGAGTCTGAAGTCACTTTGACCGATTTGGCGAATTTACGTCAAATGCCAAATGAATGAGCAGAAAGTTTTCTCCAAAGGTTCAAGACAGCAAGGAGCAAGTGTTTTGTACCTCTGTCCGAAAAAGAATTTGTCAAGATCGCTCAGGGCTGCTTGAGCTTTGATTTAAAAAAGAAGTTCCAGGACAAGGAATTTCCTGATCTTTTCCAGTTGAGTGCAAATGTGATTAGGTATGAGTGACTGATAAGAGAGGAAGAACAAATGAAAAATTCTAGTAAAGGGACTTATTACAAAGACCCAAATTTCGACGTTCATACCATCGACGATGAGTCATACGATCAGGCCGAAATGTATTTGGCCGAATTGGTCAAAGGGGATACATATACTTGTCCCATAATGGCCAAGCCTAGACCATCGGGCAGAGATGAGCCCATAAAGGATGGAAACGTAAAGGCTAGAGCGTTCTCGTTCGACGTGATCAAAGCTGACCTTATATTCGATAAATTATATAGGGATAAGCAGATAAAGTTGAGCGATAAGCACAAATTGCCAAACCCTGAACAAATTAAGGGTAAAAAATATTGTAAGTGGCATAATGCATGGTCATATTTGACTAACAATTGCTTGGTTTTCCGTCATGTATTGCAGGATGCCATTGAATTAGGACAAATTACGTTCGATGATAAGAAAAAGATGGCAGTGGACGAGAATCCTTTCCCACAGCCACTTGGAGTAAATATGGTAACATCTGGATTCAAGAACAAGTTACCAAAATTCAACTTGGTCGTAGATGACGGAGAAGAAGATCCTAGACCACATCCCAGCGTATTTGAACGAATCAAGGGAAAAGAACCAAAAAAGGACGAAGACGTCCTGTGTGCAAGGTGTAAAAGAGAAGTAAATGGAAACATGGAGAAACCAGGGACATGGCAGCATCCTCATCGCCCTGCCTTCTTCCCAAACATTCAGCCTGGTAGAGGGCGAGGTACATCATTCTATAGAGGACCGCCTTTTGAAAGGCAGTTCAGACCAGCAGATACTGGAAGAACATTTAGGCCGTAAGCTCGCCGGCCAAATGTATGGCATTCATTTCAGTACAGTGCAGGAAGGGCAATACCCTTCGATAAGATGACTAGGACCCAACAAAGGCGTTTCCAACGAAACTACGGATGGATGATGAGGCAGCAACAAGGAATGACACATCCTAAAGCGCCTATACTACTCAGGGTAGCCAATCAAAACGTCGTCAAAAGTAGTAAAGAAATCGGTACAGATGAATCAATGAAGGAACTGCCAGAAACCTCTTCTGGGAGATCAAGGTTTGAGAGGGACAAGAGGGATGAAGAAGATCCAGATCAGCCACTTGCTATCCAATTCGGTACGTTGCCTCCTGTTATGGCCAATAATTATCTACTGGTCAATGAATTCAAGAATAAGGAAAAGGAAGAAGAGAGGGAGGACAACGAAGGAGAAGCCTGCGTGTTAGTATGTGAAGAAGGCCAAACTTCTGGAGAGGCCTACAATGACGAGGAAGACGATGGGATGACGGACATTGAAGAAGAAATCGATCTAGAAGCAGAAAGGAAAAAGAGAGGAATATCGCGCAATACTCTGCTTAAGCAACTACATCAAGAGGGAGTTCGCGAAGTAGACTTGTTGGGGGAGCCATCTGGGCGTCCTTTCGATTTCTACGTACTGTACGGGACACCCAAAAGGAAGAAGAGAGTGCCTCGCTCTGAAAAGTATAGGTCACCTCCAAGAATAATGCCCCCTCCCACAGGTTGGATAACTGATGAGGAAGCATTAGAAAAAAGTAAGAAGGAAGTTCAGGAAACAAAGGATCAGCGTGATATACTACACGTCGACTTATCACAGGGGGATAATTCGACAGAAAACAAGCAAGAGGTAGAAATAGAGGCTGCTGAAAAGGTTATTTTTAAACGGCCAGCCATGAAATTGACTAAACACTTGAGGCCATTATACGTTAAAGCTCTAGTTAATGGCGTCCCAGTGGCAAAAGTGCTTGTCGACAATGGAGCGGCTATAAACACCATTCCATCTAGGATGATGAGAAAGTTCGCAAAAACAGAGGGTGACATGATTCCTACAGAAGTCATCCTCACTAGCTTCAATGGAGGAGCAATTTCAGCTAAGGGAGTTATGCCATTATACATAACTATAGATACGACTACTAGGACCAC